AAAATTTACTTTTGGAAGGACAGACCATCCAAATCTTTTGTAGGGGGGGGGGAATTAGCGTCCGTATGTAAATTATTAGAACAACAAATACACCCTTATCTCTTTATTTTCAGTGTCTCGTGGGTTTTTTCACGCTGGCCATGAGGAAATTGTGAAAATTCGTTAATTTCCTTGAAAAGTTGCCAAATAAGAACTGATTTACTTAGTGATAATGAGTCAAGCCTATTAATTTACATCCTTTAAATAAAAAAGTGGAGAAAGAATTTACATAATGTGCTTCTTTTTTTTTGAGAACTTGCATATTTTTCCTTGCAATTCCTGTTGCATAAAGATTACATTATAATGCTGTTTTTTATCCTTCGAGATAAGGCACAGATTATTATCCTAAACTTCCTTTCCTTTTATATCGAATTGTACTATTTTCATTCTATAATTAAATATAACATATATGACAAAACTTAAATTGGCACTGTTTCAAAATTTTAATCATCTTTTAAAAGAACGAGTCTTTATATTTTATATGTGGAAATGTTTTTTCAGTGTAAAAATATATTGAGCAAATTTTTGAAGAGTAATTAACATACCATATGCATTCTTCTTTGGATACAGCAGTAACATCATATCTATATTTATTGCTTATCCTATCTTTTTTTTTACATATTTTATTTATTTATTTTATTTTTGTTTAGCAAATACAGTTTTATTATAATGGAAAAAATATGAAAATCTCAAGAAAATCCTTTGGAAATGTTATGTATTATACTATGTTTATCATTGGCGATCTCTGGTCAGCCTATTTTTGCTGTTTATTTTCTTTGACTAGATTAAAACTTCAACAAAACTTACACTGCGATGAACCATAACAGACTGAGGGCAGATAATGAAAATACGAGTATTAAAGGCGATTGGTATTGATATAAATAAAATATATGAAATGGATTAAAATTCGTTAAATGCATTGTTTTCAAATAATAAGTTAAATCATCTTTAAAATAATAATTGCTCTTTGAATCATTGTGGCTTTATTGATTTCCCAAAAGGAGTGGGTTGATTTTTTTTCTTTGACACTTCCTTCTGATAAAAAAAACTATTATCGTTAGTTCCATATCTGGGCATCCTTTGATCTTTTAATGCACTCACAATGCAATGATAAACGTGATAAATTAGTTTTTGTCGCGATTCAACATTTTATCTTATTAGTCATGAAATCTTGCTCTAAGTTATATTTGAAAATGTGCCTTGATTTATATGAATGCCATAATTTGAAGACAGATGAGAGAGATGGATATATCAGAGAGTCCATTCGCCAGGATTGGCTTTTCTTCCAAATCCGACATAGGGGCGATAAAAAAGTAATCTAGGTCAAAATAACATTTATTAAGTGCTTAAAATCAGCGAAGGAGCCGAACCAGACACTCTAAAGCTTTCTCACTCCATGAAATTCTAGCAAAGGTCTATCTCCTTTGCAACCAACAACTGCATTTAAAAAACAACATATAATTCATCACTGGGTGCTGACCTGTGACCTTTCTTCTTAAAAAAACAGCAGTATATATAGTTTTTCGTGCAGCCATTTGAGCGCCTTGGTCTGGTTACTCTCCTTTTATGTTTATACTAAGTCGATATACTAAAATGCTAGCCTTTCGTTTGAACCTCAGGTTGACAACTATAGAACAGACCCAAAACCAGGTTGTGAGCATTTGATGTCCCACCGTAGCACTGCAACCTGGAAAACAAGCCAGGACTAAAATAGAGTCAAAAAGTTTTTACAATTAGTTGTAATTAAACATTACTGGTTTATAAGAAATTTGAATATATAGAATTTATAATTGATATCCTTCCCACTATTCTTTTCCATGCACAATTGCAGATTATTTTCAGCAGATTAGATAATAACGTCCTTGTAATCTGAGAAAAAAAATCATTTACTATTTAACATTGGCTACAGTTTGTCTTTAAATCGGCATGTCATCCAGTAAATTTCTTTCATACCTTTTAAAACTCTTATTTGGAACAAATATTACAGATAATTTAAATGAAATATATCCGCGATTTACTCTATGTTGGTATCCCGGTTTGTCCTTTTGTTCAAAATTAATCTCAGGCTTGGACAACTTGGTCATTTCCTATAGGACATGCAGAACATATATTTTAAATGACAATTAATTAAGGTTTTTAGTTGAGATGAAAAAAAGTTAGTGGCACGAGAGGGATTCGAACCCACGACCTTCGGCTAGATACGCCGCTGCTCTACCACCTGAGGTGGGGAGTTGATGTCCGAGTGGATCGAGGTCACGATAGCTCAGGTGGTAGAGCATCTAGCTGAAGGTCGTGGGTTCGAATCCCTCTCGTGCCATTAACTTTTTTTCATCTCAACTAAAAACCTTAATTAATTGTCATGTATTAATTGGTCAAGCGGACCACGAAAGTAGTGAATTAATATATTTTAAAATTTTCAATGATTTCTCTTATGAAGTCCTATTAGGAGGACGAGTGGTGGAGTGTATATTTCTCCATCACCACTTAAGAATCTAAAAGTCGATGGAATATTTAATATTCTGACCCTCTAGAAAATCAAGAAATATACTCACCCAAATGTTTAGACAATTAAAATGCTATTTCCTTTAATAAAAGTGACAAAGAAACTCGAAGCTTCGAGAAAAATTGATGTTGACTGGCCCTGAAAATTCGTATGGACCCAAAGCATCAGTCATTATAGGCGACCTTACACATCTAGGACACTAACAAAAGCTTCAGTCCAAAAGTTACGGATTATATTAATTTTGGGATTCCACATCAATCCCGCTTCGGGTGTTGAAAAATTTTTAACCTAGGCCAATTTTTTGGTTGATTTTGAAATTTTTTGTCATTTTCTTCATCAATAATTTTGTTCACGGATTGGGTTAGGTAGGATTTGGAACAGATTAAATTTGGTGATCAGGAAGAGTAAGGTCGGTTCAGTTACTATCCATTATTTATTATCATTCAGGATTAAAAATTAATAAAGACATATTATTGTTGGTAAACTATTAGTTTTTAATATTAAAGATTAAGGTACTAATTATGGTAATATTATATTATAGTTAAATTATAGTTTTTCATATATATCTTTATATATATAATTTTTTTTTTACGGGTATGTTTTTGGAATGAATTCATAATTTATGAGTGACCATTTTTTGTTGATTTCACTTTACCGGGCAAATGCATAGGTTAAGTAGGGTTAGAGTTAAGAATGGGCTAGGTTAGGGGAGGTAGGGTTAGGATTAGGGATGAGTTAGGGTATCATGTACATGATTCACTATTTTTCCGTGAACCATTTTTGATCATTCTGTTTTCCATCGAAAGAATCGAAATCCAGTGATTGAAGTAATTTTCTCTCATGGTGGTCTCATCTGCATTACACAATCCCAGAATTCTTTCCCTAGGGCTTTGGTAGTTCATGTCTCCCTCTTTAAGAAACAACTATTTCATTGTATAGGCTGTTTGCATGCACACACAATCTAAACTTTAGTTATATTTCAACTTGTTTTAGCCATTAGATTAGATTGGATTAGATTAGAAAAGGAGTCGGCCTCTTTATGACCTGTGCACCCTGACCAGTATTGGTCTATTATGCATGTCCATTGTTGTCTGAGCTCATTAAGCAGGCTTTTTACTAGATCCCAAAGCTTTTTCAAAGACTCGTGTGTGTATCTTTCAGATACAGGCTTTTCCTCTTCCAAGAGTACCTCAGCCTACATAAACCTTTGCTCGAACAGACTACATGTTCCGTTATCTCTTGTTCTTCTTGGTAATATATCCACAGGCTGCTACCCTAGCTCTATAAGCCTTTGGAGTCTGCACTGTTCATTTAGTCCAACTGTTATTCGAGTTCTAACTCATTTTAGATTTAGTGGTAGTTCTGTCATTACTGCGATGTCCCTTTGATAAACTTTTTCGCATGCTTCAGCTCTGGGCTTCATTGGACAGACTTATTTTTAATCCACTCCATGCTTTTGGTAATTTTTCAGGGGCAATAGTTGTCCTCATCAAACTTTCCTTGTCACCTCTTTGCCCTGTGTGCACTGGAACCCAGACAAGGGTAATTTTGTTGTTTTTCCCAATATCTGAAAAGGCTATACCGCAATCCCAAATCCTTCTTGGTATAGTATTCCATACCAAAGCTTCTGTATTTGTGCCATAGTCATACAGGATTTTTTAAAAACTTTTTAACGTACAAACATAAATACCAAATTTTCCTGTGAACCTTAACCCTTTCAGGCTATTGATGAGTTATTTCATTTGTGCTAGGAAGCTTCCTAGGCCTCATGACTAGTAATTTTGTTCTCACCCCTCCCATATTTTAAGAGCTCTAGCTTGACACGGCATCTATTGGGCTGAGGTTGTATCCAATGTGTAGAAGACATTTCCCACACCCTTCCTTACCCAACCTCATCATCAGCAAACCACTCTTTTCTCCCCTTTCTGTACACAATCTACCCTCTCTATTAATATCTTGCAAAATTGAGACATTTGTCTGGAAAACCATTAGGCCACAATATCTCTGTCTCATTGGGACTACTTTCATCTACCTCTCGCCCCTGCCCTTCCCAAACCTCTACCCTATTGTCTTTCTGATTTTTCGCTTCAAGTATGCCAAGTGCCCTCGGTTTTGGTTTTACATTGCTTACGTTTGCAATAATTTTCAGAATATATTTTGGTTTTTGTTCTCCTTATTTATATATATTTATTTTTTTATATGTAAATTAAATACAATTTTGTTGGTTTTTCTCCTTCCAATTTACTTACTTCCGTTGAAAATTATATCTTAGGAATGTACTGTCAAATTTTGAACGGAAATGGTGCACCTCAAAAGGAGTAAAGCGATTCGAAGGGAATAAAATAAATCAGGCCGGGCTGGGGGTCATGTATCGGCCAAGAATATAAGCAGGGAACGCGTTTTAGCATCCTAAAATAAAGTTTCAAAAAGGTTAATAATGCAAGTGTTATGTTTCTAGGTGGCAATGACGTCATTTACCATTTCAAGATTCTCGTTCCAAGCGTTGCTGCTGGGGCAATCATTGGAAAAGGAGGAGAAACGATTGCCCAATTACAAAAAGAAACGAATGCAAGAGTTAAGATGTCAAAAGCAAACGATTTCTATCCTGGTAAGTTTTATCCAAAAGACTGCTTAATAAAAATATTGAATCGTAATTTGTGACTTAGGAACTACTGAAAGGGTATGCCTAATCTCCGGCAACATAGACTCAATTATGGAAGCACTGGATTTTATTACGTACAAAATTAGAGAAAAGCCTGATCTAAGTGGAAAAATTGGCAGTGAATGTGATGCCAAAATTGGAGATAGAGAAAAGCAGGTATGAAAGTTATTTATTCAATTTCTGTTTTTAATTTGTAAGTGTGAAACTACAGTATCAAAACAGATTTGGAACAGTAGAAACCATCTTCATCAATATGCAATCTATTTCGGTTTCTAAGATTAACATTGACATCATAAATTTGCATGTTTCATAGGAAATTTGTTGTTGAAAGTTTTTAACGTAGGCATTGGTATCATTATTACAACTAAAAGGTCATTTCATGCTATCATTACCATTTTTTCAATCCCTTTTAAGTTTATAAATTTACTGTTTTAATTTTTTTAGATTAATCAATATTATATCAGTCATAAATTGGCATCTGAAAGACGATTATAATGATGATCGAAATGACGTAGATGATCTCAGGTGTGCCCATTATTCATTGTAAGTCGGTTTTCTGGTGGCATCAGTTTTTATTTATATTATTGTACACAGTTATATCCGAGTGGGCATGAAATGACTTTAGTTGTATTATTTTAATTTTATTTTTTTAAATAAAGCAGTTTTCATATTTATTGTTATTATTTCTATTAACGCATTCACTACGCCTTAATTGATTTTAATCCAAAAATGGGACCCGCTATTGCTACCAAAAACGTATTTGAACCAATTTACTGAACCCTTGAAAACTGACATAAAAAGATGGCAGTTTCCGAAGAAACAATCCTTACCACGGTAATGCTTTAATAAATGTAGAAAGTCGCGAATGATAATTGTACCTGAGGTTTAATAGAAAACACGAGATGTTTGAAGTGGTCAATGCGTTAAAGTAATATTTTAGTTGCTTGTGAATTTTTACATAAATAATGTAATCAAGTAAGTGATTAATTTATAAAGTACATTCAAAGAAAAGAAAGAAAAAAAGGTATTTTGTTGTTTATTTCAAACTAGATGTATTTTTATCATTATATTAATTACCACATATTTATTTCAATGTAAACCAAATTAAATGAGATCAGAAATTCATGAGTTTTAAAAAACTATATTGTTATAATGGTTTTTGAGAAAATTCACCAAAACACAAGAAAATCATTTAGTTATGGATTAAAACTTAACTAAAAATTTGTTACCTAGTTTTGTTCTAATAACGCAGAGGGCCTTAATTAAATCTCCTGGGAATTGAGTCAGATTATGCTTTGTGAAACAGAATCCCAGTGCAGTTTGAAGCTGTTCACTTATTGGATTCAGCTGTCAGATGTCTAACCTGTTTCTTTATCATGACCCATAAGTGTTCTACGAGATTTATGTCAGGTTGTGCAGGCAAATTAATAGCGGTAATCCCTACATCCTCCACGCTATGGGTGACAACTCGAGCTACATGCAGTCGAGCATTATCAGTGCGTTAACACGAAGTTGTCTAAATGGGACTGTAGCTTTCAGAAGAACTTCCCTCACCTTAGTGCAGTCAAAGATCAATTCTATATGATAAACAGTTCAGGGCATGGATGTTGACTCCACACCACCATAACTTATTTCTGATAAGCCTGTGAATGATTCACATATGATGCAAAGCGTTTATATCACATTCTGTCCGTACAGGTTGTCTAATTGGCACAAACCAAACCGGCACTCATTTGTTAAGAGGACAGCCCCTATTGTTCAAGTGTCCAAGCAATGTACCTTTCTCCTGAGCGTCTCCATATGAAATTACGCTGATCTGAAAATTTGAGGCCAATTCACCTTATCTGTAAAGAGAACTCATCCCCAATCTTTGATTGTCAAATTCACATGTTCCCGTTGAAGCCTCGCCATTTCCTGAGCCGTGGTAAGAAGAGGTCCATGAGCCAGGTGCTGGGCCATGAGATTATTTTCATTGAGCCTTCTTCTTATTGTCCTGGAGGAAATCTAAACATTTTGGACTTGCTTTATCAGATTTCTTATCTCATTCCCTTCAATGCTGTGGTTTCCTAGAGCTTGATGACGAATGAATCTATCGTTCTTTCGTGTGTAAACCTAGGTTGACCCTGTCCTGGCCTTCTAGTGTGAAGCCCTGTATCTCTGAAGCGGCAAAGAGCCCTTCCTATCGTCGAGTAATTTATACTCAATCCCGTGGCGGCTTCACACTGGCTGTATCCTTTCTCTAATAATGTTATGACTCCATACTCACTCAAATGCCTGACTAGAGCTACTGAAAAAGGTTTAAGAATAAGAATAAAACCAAATGTAATCAACAAAGGAAAAATATTAACTGAAAGTGATATTTTGTAGTAGCAGAATGGAAGGGCATAATGCTACTTTTTGTGCAAATGGGATTAATCAGTACAAAAGTAAATAAAGGAAGTAAACAAAGCATTATTTACTGCTTATTTGGACTACGATATCTCCTAATTTCTTGTAACTAATGTACAATGATAATGGCTTTTATTTTAAACTAACTAAATTGAGTGGTGCATTAAATTTGTCCATTAATGTATTATTTTTTTCATCTAAGTCATCTATTAATCATTATTGTGGAAAATAAATAAATAGAAGCGTCCGGTTTTATTTTGTCTTTGAGTGTATAATCTGTTCGCATCTAAAGCGGCCCATAGACGATCAATATTATTGCACAATATTTTGGGTTGTGCAATTTAATTGACCGTGTGTAGAGATATTGAAAGTTTGTGCAATATATTGCATGATTGACGAAAAATTGAAAATATATTATACAACCTGGAAAATATTGCACCGTCTGTTGGCATTATTGCGCAATATCAGTCAGTTTGTGAAGTACAACAAGTAGTAACAAAATATTGCACAAACTTCAATATCGCCTTCAAACTATTCAAGTTCATTGCACAAACAAAATTTTGTACAATATTATTGAACGTTAAGGAGCAACCGTCAAATTATTGTGCAATCTATATTGCACAATAATATTGACCGTCTATGGGCCGCTTAAGTCACTACCGTGTGTAATATCTGGATTATGTATTTTATACACTTGTTTTACTTTAAGAGGGATGAACAAATTAATGTCAACCTACATATTAGTAGAAAGTTAATAAAATACTTTGATTTAAGGTCAAAATTCTTGTTCCGAATACAACAGCCGGGATGATAATTGGCAAAGGGGGAAGCTACATAAAACAACTGAAAGAAGAAAGTGGAGCTTACGTGCAAATTTCTCAGAAAGCGAAGGATCAGTCCCTTCAAGAAAGATGTATTACCGTGATGGGTAAATATTTAACAACCAGCCGTAACATTTTTTCCCCCTTAATTAAAGGATTATTATTTAGGTGATGTCAATAGCAACAAAAAGGCTTGCGCTATGATCCTGGCCAAAGTTCAAGAAGACCCACAGAGCGGTAGCAGCTTGAACATCAGTTACGCAGATATCTCAGGTCCTGTGGCCAATTACAACCCCACCGGATCTCCTTTTGCTCAATCGACTAGCCAACAACCTTATGTCACAGGTGCTTCAATTACATCACCAGTACCATGTAAGCATATCCAACCTAGTCGCCCTAATCAAGCACTTGCTAAGTTTTCAAAAATAAAACAATCATCCCATACTTGAATTCATTTAGCTTTATTTTTCACAATTAGCCCATTTCATCATACATTTCTTAATCCTGATTTTTCATTACTTCTTGGAAGTGAACTTTCTACCTCATTTAAAAACCTAGCTCTTTTCATGCTTAAGCGTTGTATTTGATTCATTATTGAAAAAAATTAATTTTTAAATATCTCTGCTATTACATTGGAAGGCAAGTTTTTTACTTTTGTTGGTGGTACAGCAGTGTCATATTTGCAGAGGTTAGTCGCTAGGTTAAAACCGTCTTTCTTCTCATCGATTAAGACCTGCCAACTGGTCAGTTGCAACACTACGCATAGGGGACCTAATAAATATGAAATGCGGAATAAATTTAGATTAAAACCTATTTAAGTATACTGTATACACAGGAAAATTGTCGATTGTGATTTTTTTTGTAGCCCTTGGGATACAAAGAATTTGCCTGCCAATGGAAGCTTTTTTATTTTTACTAAAGTATCAAATTTAATCATATATAAATATTGAAAATTTTTAATTAAGATAAGATTTAAAATGCATACAAATGAAATTGGTGTTGTTTGTTTATAATAAAAGTGGTTCTATTTTTTAAACCCATTATGAAAATGATCAATGTTTTATTGGTACTTTTGTTGAAAGAATTACTTATTTTATGTTATTTTTTGAAAACATCTTATGATTTATACAATACTTCTTGAAATTTAAAATTGGTAATTAGACATTCATTTTCAATGCAAAATATTTATTTTTAATCTTACTTTTCTAGGAACAGCAATAGCCATACCTAACTATATCCTTACCTAATTCCAATCTTTACCTGATCATTCCTAACTTATACCTATCTAACCTAACGCCAATTCTAGCCTAATCGTTCCTAACTAATCCCTGACTAACTGGACAACCCCAATAATAACCTAACAATAGCTAGATGTACACTAGTACAAAGGTTAAAAAAATAAATTAAAAAAACTACTTAAGTATAGTACCTAATCATTACTGACCTATCAATACCTAACATAACCTAACTGAAATTCTAATTTAATCATCCGTAACTCATCCCTATCTAAATAACCTAACTGAAATTCTAATTTAATCATCCGTAACTTATCCCTATCTAACCTAACCATTCCTAACCTAACAACCCAACCTATGCTCCCTCTTCAGTACCATGATATGAAAAATTAAATGATTAAAAGTTTTAAAAAAAGCTAAAAAGTTGAAGGTTGAAAAGCCACAAGAACACCCGAATACATGGATAGAATAAAAATTACAATATATTTGTTTACTTAATAATAAGCTATTTTGAGAAATACTAGGAAAGAGAACTTAATAGAAAGTGCATGGTATTAATTATCGTGCACAAAAATTGGCAAATTTCTTTCTTGCAGATTGCTCTCACAAAGTTCCTCTTTGGGAACTGTCCGGAGAAATTAATAGCAATATTCACAACAGACGTGATACAGTCAACCCTCCTATAACGCGGTACTCTCAGAACGCGGTTTCTATATAACGCAGAGCTGAAATTGCGACAGCCCTCCCATAACGCGGTACTCTTACAGCGCGGTTTCCGTTTAACAGAATCCCATAAGTCCCTTCCACACAGCCTATGAATGACTCTAGTAACTAGATATTGTAAGAGGTTTTAATGTAAGTTTTATTTTCCACTCAAAAGCACAGCTGAGATGCATAAACAATATGTTTATATAAACATGCCAGCTTATCTCATAGCCGTTTACGACATCGGTTTCAGTCATCTCAGAGATCTTTCACAGTATATACGTTTTGTTGGTGACCAAGTCTTTCTAAAAAATTTTCTACACCTTCCGTTCGTTCAGCTTTTAGCTGCTTAATTTGTGATTTATAATTGGACAACATTACACAATACGATAAGTAATATTCTTAAGTTGTACTAATATAATAATAATAAAGTAATTAATTTTATTAAAATAATTAATTACCCTAGATTTGCATCATGTCAAACACAAAAGAAACAAGGAAAGGATTAAAAAGAAAGTTTATATCGCTTGAAGATAAAATCCAAATTTTAAATCGTTTAGAAGGCGGGGGAAAAATATTGTCTGTTGCAAAATCAATAAATTTGAATGAATCTACAATTCGAACCTTAAAGAAAAAAGCAGATAATATAAGGAAAACGAATGGGTGCCAAATCTCGATTTACAAGATGTGAAAAAAGGGCTAAATTTGGCTAAAGAATTATAACTTCATTTCATTCAAACTGATCGTTCAACGGTGATCAAAAGTTTAAAAGAGAGTGAAGAAATTGCTTAGCTCCCTATAGAGAGGTTTTAGTGGAGTTAGAAAAAAAAGCTACGATCGGAAACCAATGTGAAGAAGAATCAAGTGAAGAAGACATTTTGCCCATTAAAAGAAGACGAGTTAGGCGACTCATATCTGACAGCGAGGATGAATGTTGAAAAATAAATAATTTTACAAAAGTCTTTCTTGTTTTTGTTGGAAAACAGTCTTTTAGTTTAGTTTTTGTTTCATTTTTTTCGTCAATCCTTATATGAACTCTTCAATTCAATAAAAATAATTCATAATTTATCTTGTCTTTTGTATTTATTGGTCTCCATATAACGCGGTACGAATGATGTGATTTGTACTAATTCCGAGTTTCTTATAGCGCAGTTTCCATGCAACGCGGTAGACGGTTTCCATAGAACACGCTACGAATTAGCCTGGTTTGTACGATTAAATCCGAGTTTCTTATAGCGCGGTTTCCATATAACGCGGTACGCACTCACCGTGTTATAGGAGGGCTGACTGTAAATGCTTCATCGAACACTGCGTGTTTCATAAACCTGCAAAAACAGACATGCCAATCGCTTCGGTCAAAACCACTGTATGTGTGTGTGTGTCTGTGTCATTACTCTCAGAGTGGCTGATCTTTTCATAACTTAAAACCTTCATTTTTTTTTAAATCTAGGCTTATTTATTATTGAAATCAAAATTTCTTTACTTTTCTTATTCTATTTTGCAAACAGCTTTGAACCTGGTTTAACAACTGGTTAAATACGACAGGTTAATAAAGAGTCAGTTAAGTGTCACCATTGAATTTTTGGTCCTCATACGGTGAAATAATAAATATTGGAAAACAATCAGTATGAGAATTAAAATGTCTAAAGTAAACTTGTTTTTGTTTTGTTTCTTGTAAACCAGTTTAAGATCACAAAAAAAAATTTGCATGAATTGCACACCTAATGATGTGTGGATATGTATATATTATTATATAGGCTGCCAGTAAAGTGAGGCTTTTCTTAAACAATGTTGATTTGAAGTCCTGGACCGCTTTGAACATAGTACCATCATCACCCACATCATAATATGATTTTAGGGGCAGGATTAATAGAATCATCTGGATTAGCTGGTATCACATTGACCATCAATTTGGAACCTAATTCTTCCCCACCGCAAGCAGTTGTATCACAGGTTGTGAATGCTATATCAGTTGCTTTGGGCAATACAGGCTATCCAGAACTTGCAAAAGCCGAGATTTCTACCGCCATATCCACATTAGGAAAGTAAGGATTTTATGAAGATGATGTTATATTTTATTTATTAAAGTTGTTATTTGTTTTTAAATTGAACATAACCAGTATTTTATTTGAAATCTGAATTTAACAATGTGATAATTTAAAGAAATTTAATGTTGATATATAGGGGATACATTGCAAAATTTATTCTTCAATCTTGATTTTTTCACATTGTATATTTTAAATATTTTAAAATATATAGAAGCTTAACCGTAATTTGACATCATAGAAACATTTTTTTCAGTTTTATTACCTGCTTGCAACATTCCAGTTCATTACCATGGCATATTACAATCCAGGTTTTTGTAAATGTAAGGAAATTGAATCAGCCATCAGCCATATTTCAATAAAAGCATTAGTTAACTAAATCCATCAACACACTACAGCACTCAGCATGCCAGAGCATTATCTAATTTCATTACAATATGTTTTTTTTTTTTTCACATTTTCCCCCTTTTACCATTTCCATAATAAATGAATGAGTAAATAATTTTGTAAATTTGTACATTTGTTGGACTAATTTTTAAATAACCATACTGCATGACGAGTCTAAAATTGGCCAGGAACAGATAAACCTCAAATAAAACTTGTATAAAACGGGACTTTGGTGGCCGCAACAGTTTAAGTGTTGATGAAACAGCACTCATTACTGTAAGGTAAAGGTCCTGGGTACTTACAAATGGGCTTTTTTTCAAAAACACTGGCACCCCGAGGGTTGATATTACCTCTGGTGTTGCAAACCGTTATTACAAAAAATAATAATAAAATTATCTTTTTAAACAAATTGCAAGATAATGCAAAAGTAATTTTCTTTTGCAATGTTGCATGTTGTAACATGCAAATTCTACATGAAGAACCCAGTTCTGTTGATTCACACCCATTATTAAAAAGACCGATAACTTAGGGTGATATGACCTATATTGTCACGAACCCTTTGAAAACCCTAAAAAAATGAATAAATAAAACAAATCATATAACAGAGAAATTTCAGCTGCTTGTACTACTAGAATTTTGAATGTAGGAAGTCGAGTTTTTATAATTTTGTTTGAGCACAGCAAAATTGGTCAGTTTTTCATAATTATACCGCATATATGTTAATTTTAAAGTTAAAAATGATTAAAATTAAGTTTTGAATGATTATGAACATAAGTTGTAATGTAATATGAAGAAGTAGGCGTTCTGAGGCTGATTACGGTTCAAAATATTTACCAAAAAAAAGGCAGTGATGGTTCAAGGCTGATTCAATTTTTAATAAACTATAATCTCGGAATTGTTTAACAGCAAATAATTCCTAACTAAAATGTTGAATTATTTTAGATACAGAATGCTTGGCGTATGTCTAACCGGCAATTCTCCTCCAACCACCTACGTTGGAATTACGACAATGGATGGAGCGCAAACTCCGAACGGAGTTTTCGGACCGATTGGAGGCACTACAGCCAGAACGGTTCTAGAGTTAGCCCTTGAACCATTTCGACACACCGCGTCTGGTCCGAATTCTCCGCCTCATATAAACAACAATACTTTTGCCACTGTCGCTAATCACGACCAAGGGGACAAAGGCAAGGAACCGAGGAAGGTAATTATTTATAAAAGAAAGTCTTCTACTGCATTCTTAATTAAAAAAAAAAAATTCAAAAAAGTTTTAGTTTAGCAAGAAGCACATTCTTCCAAAATAATGCTTGTTGCAGAATAGTGTTGGGAATTTTTATTAAACCTAAAGTGATATAGTTCTACTTAGAACATCAGCAACTTAATTTCCCTATTAAATAATGAATGTGCTTTATATATTTGTTTTTAGAATTGGAGAGGATAAACATTTTGATATATTTATCAACATGATTTTTTTTTAATAATTGAATAATTCATTAAGTTTTGTTAATAAATAGGGTATTAATGAGAAAAATGATTGCCACTGTTTGTGTGCAAAGCTTATATATATATTTATATAAATTTCACAGTAGAGGAAAGAAAATTATAGTTTGCTAGTGAGTGCTTCTGCCTATTTATTTTTAATTTTTCTGTAACTTGCTTCAAACCTAGTGTAGTATTTGGTTATATTAGTTTGACTTCTAGGTTGAGATGGAAATTGCGGAAGCTATTGTTGGGGCCATATTAGGACCTGGTGGTCGATCTCTTATCGAAATTCAGCAACTGAGCGGAGCAGTAATCCAAATATCAAAGAAAGGGATATATGCACCTGGTACAAGGAACAGGGTAGTTGCAATTAGTGGCTATCAAAATTCTGTCAACACTGCTCAATATTTAATAGAACAGAGAATTAAAGATGAGGAAATAAAAAGAACCCGTCAGAACCAGTTGCTAATGCTTCATTAAATGTTTTATAAAGTTTATAAATTGTTATTCAATTTAAATTCTCTATTGAGTCTTTTGTTTTGTTGAAAGATTTCTAATTTTAAATGTTCAAAGTCATTATTTTTTATTAGTTACTGGTGCTATGGAATAGAACTAATTATAGAGAAGTAAGCAGTGGAAGATTTGGCATATTCTATTCATGTCTTGAACTATAATGACATTGTTTTATCGAAGCTTAATTTATTTAAAATATATTAAAACTTAATTTAAAAAAAAAGAAAGAAACAAATATGGCATTCAAAAAGGATAGTTCGTGGTCTGCTACGATGTCATTCACATTCAGATTGATTCATCAAGGATAATCCTTATTTTTGAAAATTGTACGTGCTAATTAATCACAAAAAGCACCATGTGCACTGTTGGATTTCGAAAAATCACACGAGCGTTTTAATTTCAAAACAATTAAAATTAATATCGTATGTAATAGCTAAATCATCCACTGTATACATTTAAAAAATGAAATTATATTGTTTAGTAACAATTGACAAATGGACCGTTAAATATATTAAGTTTTTGGAGCATTTCTGATCAAAATCAAAGGATGGCTTGATCGCCCTAAAAATTACTTTTATTTTTTTAATCAAATCTATGCACAAATTATTTAAATGAGAAATAATTGCATATTGGTGTATATTTATTGTAAACCTGATGAACTACTGTATATTAATTATTAAGAAAACGATAAAGATTCTCTTAAAAGTGGATAAATATAAAAACTTCATTTTAGTTCCTATTATTTTTCATTATTGATTGAATTATTGTTATTATTAGTTTTGTGATAACAGGTAAAGGTTTACATTTGATTATAAATTGTAAATGATATACTCAAATCTCAAATGGTAGAAAATGTTACCTCAGTTAACTGGCGGAAAGTATCAATTTGAATGGTGTCACCTAGTTTTTAAAGTTTAATTAAAAGTAGCATTTAGTTAAAGAAAGCAAATTAATTTTAGTAGAAATCTTTGTGAAGATTTTTAGATTGCAAAAGATTATATATTTAGGGCGATTCCAAGTTTTATCTTTTATTTTGAACAGAAGTTTGTAATAAACATTTATTCTCAAATATGAAAATTAGTTATAAGAAAATTAATTTAATTATGAAGTTTTAGTTTATATTTAGGAAACTATTTGGGCTGTTGATTGATAAGATCAAATATAACAGTAGAAATATTTTAAAAAAATAGACATTTCAGAAAGTTAATTGTATGAAAAGTGCATAAAGAAGTCCTATGTTCTTGATATTTTTGAAAATATTCTTAGCGTGAAAAAGTGATATGAAATTATTCAATTACGAAATACTAGAAAAATAGATTTAAAAAAAAAATGGCGAATGATGTAAGTTGCGGTGCTGCACACTTGATTTTAGCCGTTCACCATACTTGTTTCAAAAGGGTTTCACCCGAATTATGTACAAAAGTCAATTGAAGAAAGGTCAAGGTACATATAGGTGTCAGGTGTGATTGTGACCGCACTCTCGTACGGCTTGTTCTATTCAATGAATTTTAGGAAGGCATTCGAAGAAATTGTTTGGTTCGAAACCTGAGCGACAGAACATTTATTTTTCGCCGTTGTTTAGTCATAATTCTACAATTTCACCATCTTGGAGGTTTTTTCGTTCAAATTTTATTGAGTTGATAATTTATACTTGGGTTTGTCAAAATAGACTTGAAATTCTGTCGGAAATTCGAAATATTAGGGAAAGAAATTTATTGTAAACATTTTTATGGATATGGGGCTCACATTTAGAGATGTGTTTCCTGAGGGGTTTTTAAAAAAATTTTTTTTTCCTAAATATGTAGGAAATCACTATACAAACTGGTTCACTTGAGAGTCATGAGTGTTCATTGTTTAATCATTTTTTTTTCTCATGTAGTTGGCAACTCGTTAATATTAAAGTACTTTATGGCTTTTCATTTAAGGGTAAAATTAGAATCATCACTTTTATTACTTTTAACCTCACAGTTCAAATTCTACTTAAATGCTTAACGTAACAATTAATTTAATATTCCTATAGGTGAGTTATTTTTCTTATCTGTTGGTTTGACACATTGCATCACATTCTTAACCCTTTTTCCTCTATATTTTAAATTGGGGTAATATGTTACATCACATATCTCACCATATTTTTCCTAAGGCTTTAAATATTTGATGGTGATTATTTTTTCCTCTTGTTTTCACGATACACTAGTTTCAACTAACGTTCGATATAAAATTTATGGTTTATATTGGATTGTATTACATCGATAAACGACTTAGGTCTAAATTTTATGCTCGAATCTCTAATTCATAATTTTACTTCTTTTATAAAGAGCAAATATATTAGAAAATATTCATCTACTGATGCACTGTTGATCTCACAATTGCAAGATTGTTTTTATAAATTACTGTCTTTCTACCATATTCTATTGTTAAAATTGCTTGGCCTACGGATGTGATGTAATCCTATTACAGTTGTAATTTTAAAATTTTTTGGCCTAAATATTGTAACATTGTTACCAATGTTTATTCCTCATTGCCTTGATTTAGTAATAATACTTATAGGTACTGTACACATTTTCTGCCTTGTGTCTGAAGTGTGTGAACTGTTTATTTTTCCTGGTTGAACTACATCAGGGAAAAAAACTCCATTGTATGGAATAGTTTATTATGGGTCAATCAACTAACAGTTACAATAAACTTTACTAGATATGTAACTTTTTAACTAAGATTTCTAGACTATTCTATCAACGTAACATTACAGTTCCATTTGTAAAAGAGATTTTGACCATAAAGGAAATCTCAGATTAGTTATTTTAACTAAAGTTGTACATATAGTAAACAGTCAGTACTTAACCATATGTTACGTAAAAAATTTGGGCTTCATCGAATGTTTTAACATCTTACAAACCTATAATAAAACTTATAAAAGATTGTAAAAGAAAAAATACAATCATGTCACGCCTTCCTTAAACTAGAAAACACCTGAAAATTTTACCATCCTTGTTCATCTTTTTAGTTCAACGGTTTGTAAAGTTCTTTGGACTGAGAAGCATAAATTCTATATAATGCTTCTAGTTATACTGGGAAATAAATTTGTTTTAGCTATTGCTTAGGGATTTTTTTTTTTTTCTTAATGTGTTTTACAGTGTCCAGTTTTGTATAGTCTATATTTAATGTTATCTAAAAGCATCACAAATAAAGAATAGAATCTGAAGATGAAAAAAAAAAAAAACCTTAACGTGTTATAAAAATCAAAATATTTAGGGTAGATTAGATGTTGAGTATGGTTTTTAGAATTCTCATGTGTGAAAAAACAAGATTATGTTTCTGAAGATGCCATTTTCATCTCACTATCACTCCCTCCCAACTAACTAAACTAAACTATACAATTTACAAGATCTTATTAAAAATTAATGAATATTTGATAAATGTAATTGTGCAAATGTTCACATAAAAATAGAGAAAAAGTCACCTACTTGCACTTTTGATTCAATTCTACATTTTTGTCAATCGTACAATTTCAGTTTTAATGGCATCATAGTAATGTGCATTCATCATTATAATTTTAAAATAAAAAACATTGATGGTAATATTAAATAATATGGTGATAATGTCATACGTAGTTTGTAGGTGTTAAAAAAAACAATTGTTTTTTAAATTAAAATTGTACCGTTAAAACAAAAATTAATAATGTAGAACTGCATGCTTAGTGAAAACAATTGTATATAATATGAGGCATATATCAGTCCAGATATTCATATGTCCATTTATGGTTAAATAATTTCATGTAAATTCAACAGAACTTGCAGAAAAATGTACATGAACGTGAAAATGCACGACATGTATGTTAAAAAAAATTTGTGAATCCATTTAATGTTATCTGTTGTTATTGTTGTTAAATGTATTGGATGTTCATTGTTTTGTGTCAAAAAATGTGTAATAATTGATATACTAAATAGAAAATGATTTGGTATTATAGTTATAATGCCTTACAAGTACCTGTTTTTATTATATTTAAATTTTACATTTATCTATTTTTTTATGAATGAAGGGAATATCATTAGATTTTTTGATGAAAACGTTATAGTTTTTTATAAAGTATGAAAAAATTTTACTTTGAAATTTGTTCAAATTTATAACAATTGGAATCATGATTCTAAAATACATGCTGAAAAGTCTACCAAACTTTGACACTTTCCAGGAAAATATATGAAAAAACAAAACAATTACGCTTTTATGCAGCGATTGGTTAAACTGTATCAATAAAATACGCTCACTAACTTCATTATTTGCATTGTAGTTCACTTTCAATGAATATGTGTCCATAGTAAAATTAATATAGAAATTATAATAAAAATTCTTAATTTCTAATTGCTGATATTAATTATAAGTATAACATAAAAATTAAAAAACAAAAAAAACAGCTTGGAATAGTAAACCTATGTGAATATATTTTTGTAAAATAAGATATATATTGTTGTTAATTATATTTTATATAGACTATTTTGTTAAAATTTAAGAGTTTAAATTCTTTTCCTCATCATTTCTCTGTTTATGTGTAGTATGTTAAAAAGAAAAAGAAGCGTTACCTTTATTAAGTTTTAAATATGTTTTGTAATTAATGGCATGCTAAAATCTATTTATTTAGGGCAAATTTGCCATGTGGCTGTACAGCTTGTTACTATATTTAAAGGTTTAGTTTTATGTATAAACTAAATGGAAAAACTTTAAGTCAATTTGACGCCCCGTATGTGCTGGCGGCTGTTTTGATCCAATTAATTTGATTAATTCACAATATCTAGATTTTATAAAATATCTATTAGACAGTATAATTTTTAAAAATCATATCTCGTAGCAGGTTGAAAACTTAATTAAGTTTAGACCAGGTGGATCTTTGAAAAAAAAAAAAAATAATTTCTAACTATATAACTGCTACAGTTGTTCTGTGATAATTACCCAGTTTACTTGCTCAGCATCATATTTATTTGTATAATCCAATCAGCTTTTATTTCAAATTTACCAATTAATGATTTTGAAACTAAATCACATTAGGCTTTATGTTAATGACTTTGTTGTCAAAAAAATATATAATATATATTGTGATATTCTTTGTATCTGCAAATTAAAAAAAAAAATGTTACCATCAGTAATTTAATGTATAAAGGCTGTAAGCAGTATTGAGAACCTACCTTTGAAATTGTATAACATTTTACCAACATTAAAATTAGTTAATGATAAATATATAATTTGTGACATTTCTTATTAAAAAAAATAATAATAATCGTGACTAGGCCCACTTATTGCTAGAAACTTTATTTTAGAAAAAAACAATCAGCCATGTAAACATTTATTATTATTATACACTTTTTTTACAGAATAAATAATTCTTGCCATAGTCTACATAACTCCACATTAAACTACCTCTTTCTACAGAATAAAAAAAGTAAAACTTTTTTTATAACTCTTAATATTGTTGTTAGTAATTACTAAATCTTATAATTTTTTAGTGCTATAATGAATTACATAAATAATTATATATATTGAAATAAATAAATGAAATTATTAAATTGTTAGGCTGTGAAACACTGGTTGGTAAAGTGTTTAAATTGAATGAGCATGTCATCACTAGCACTTTTATTTTAATAATGTTCTAATTTATTCTACCTTAGTTGAATATAAAAAAATATATATTATTTTTGTTGAGGGATTATCAATAAAAATTAATGATCAAATATTTTTTTCTGACAAAACTTAATTCCTCTTAAATACTGTTTTTATTATATAAACCAGTTTTACTCTAATAAACTTGATTGTAAAACTTAAAAAAAGGTCCTAGTATATAAACATTTTCATTTATATCCTGATTTGTTTTCTCAACCCGCAGGACAATGAATCGCATCAAAATTTATCAAACCTTCACCTCTTGTTACCGAATGTTTGCCGAATAGTTAATACGTTATGTATCGAACTGTTTATAGACAAACATTTTTTTCATTGATATTTAAACCTGTGTAACTGTTCTTTTCAACCTATTAGATGTGAAAATAAAACATTACATTTCATTGATGTAACCACTGCATTTATTTTGCACTCACACTCATTGTCAACCACGTATAGTCCCCTTGTATCCTAATCATATCTCATCTGTTAAGTTTGAAATTTCAGCTAGTATAGATATTGTTCATTGTAAGTTGTTTTTTTTTATTAAAAAAAAGTTACAGGTGCAACATACTACTTCGTACTTCTTAGAATCGGAATTTGTGTAAGCGAGGGAAAAGAAATTATATGTTAATTATCTCATTGGAAATGACAAATAACAAGAATCTCCTACATAAGACAGCAACATGTTGCAAATATTATTAATAACGTTTTACAAACCACAGAGTAAAATTTATGATTTATGAGTGGAAACTATAAGCAAATAGCATTTGCATATTTTCTCTGCTTTATGGAAAAACATTGAATCATGGTTATGTAACCTAACCTGAATCTGTCCCTAACAAACCTAACCTAACCGCCTTTAATCCTAACTTTAACCTAACAGAGTAAAATTTTGATTTACGAGTAGAAACTATAAGGAAATGTTATTTGCATATTTCCTCTGCTTATGGAAAAACATTGAATCATAGTTATGTTACCTAATCCATCCCTAGCCCTTATCTCACTCATTTGTAACCTAACCAAACCTATTTCTGACCTTAACTATAACACTTTAAATTCACTAATTTCGTGGTCCGCTTGACCAATTAAATCATTACAATTAATTAAGGTTTGTAGTTGAGATGAAAAAAAGTCAATGGCACGAACGGGATTCGAACCCACGATCTTCGGCTAGATACGCCGCTGCTCTACCACTTGAGCTATCGTGACCTCGATCCACTCGGACATCAACTTCCTATCTCAACCCCACCTTATGAGATTTCCCTCCTTTTTGCCATTTTTCAAATGTCGTGTCTTAACTATAACCTAACCTAACCCATCTCTAATCCTAACAGAGGAAAATTTAGATTTACAAGTGGAAACTATGATAAAATAGCATTTGCATATTTCCTCTGCTTTATGGAAAATTTTTGAATAATAGTTATATAATCTAATATACCCCAACCCTTATCGAACCTGCCTCTAACCTAACCGCATCAGTTTCTGACCCTAACTGTAATCTAACCTAACACGTCTCTAATCCTAACAGAGGAAATTTTAGATATACAAGTGGAAACTATGAGGAAATAGCATTTTTGTATTTTCTCTGCTTCATGGAAAAATCCTCTGACCTTAAATCTAACCGACCAGAATAAAATTTACATTCACAAGTGGAAACTAAAAGGAAATAGCGTTTGCATATTTCCTCTGTTTCATGGAGCAACATTGAATCATGGTTGTTAGCTAATCCACCCCTAACCCTTATCGAACTCATCTCTAACCTAACCTGTCTCTGACCCAAAAAGGAAACAAAAGTACAAAATATCAGCATGAGGCTTGCACCCTCAAGAGGGCTTTACTTAGTACCCTTACGACATTAGAATCGAGCAAAAAAAAAAAAAAAATGTTGGCCTTTCACAAAACGGAAATGTAACGTAATGATTAATAAAGAAAAAATGTATGAAGAGGTCATCTCCAGGAAGCGTAGATGGAAGAACATCACATTCTTTACGGCCTCCATGCTTAACATCAATGATCAATTTACAAAAAAAACCTTGTTACATTCAAACTTTAAGATCACATATCAGTGTTCTGCATGATCAGTACTATTGCAAACCCATCATCTGCATGGTCTGAACTACCGCAATCCATCATCTCCATGGCCTGTACTTCCATAAAAATCATCTCCATGGTCTGTACTCTGGAAAACAACCATTGTATTCATGGTCTGTACTCTGGCAAAAAAACCATATCTTCACGGTCTGTACTATTGCAATCCATCATCTCCATAGGTAGTACTCTACAAAAACCATCATCTTCATGATCTTTACTATTGCAAAAACCATCGTCTCCATGGTCTGTATTATCGCCAAAACCACCATCTTCATGATCTGTACTCATGCAAAAACCATCATCTGTATTGTCTGTACTATTGCAAAATCACTATTTCCTTGCTGTGTACTCTCACAAAAACTATCATCTCCATGGCTAGTACTCTCACAAAAACCCTTGTCTTCATGATCTGTACTATTGCAAAAACCATGGTCTGTATTATCGCAAAACCCATTGTCTCCATAGTCTGTACTCTCACAAAACCATCAATGATCAGCCCTTGGCTCATCACATCAAAATAACCCAACACATTCCTATCAGACTTTCATGCTGGGTATAAATCACTGCTCAAATGACAACTAAAAAAATAGTCTTCTCATAACGTATGCAGTGTGTTCGGTTAGTCGTGTTACAAACTTTGCAAGTAAGATTTTACATTCAAAATGGAACCAAAAAGTCCTAATTAACTATGGTCCGAATCTCAAAAGTTTCGGAGTTATTCCACTTTTTGCTGATTTTTTAAGATTTCACAACCTTGCTTCAAATAAACAATGATAACTCCAAAACTAAAAGGTTTTGGGCAAATCTGTTGGCCATTGAAAACTATGTTAAATTTCCAATAAGAAGTGATCAATACTAAACTCTCTTTATTGGCGAGAACTTTGAAAAATAATTCTTTTTTTCAATGTTGAAAAAATTTACTATGGTGATTCTAAACTACTATTTCCAAACCTAGAGACCAGCAAATTTCAGAAAACGTATTCATTTAATATGGTGGTGTAATTTCTTTTTTAATTACCTTTTTCAGATATGAAGAAATTGATGAAGGATAGGAAAAAAATTGTGGTTGATGGATTGGTAAGGTGGAAAAAAAAAGAATTTATTAAACTTTTTTAATTTGAGTTAAAAACCGAAATAGTGCAATTGTTTATTTATTTATTAAATTAAAAAACGTTTAATAAATTCATTTAAAATTCCTTAAGTTTTTCATTTTTTTAAACTTTCCACCTTAACAATCCGTCAACCCTTAATTTTTACCTTTCTTTCATCAATGTCTTCATCTTAAAATTTTGATTTTTTTAAAAAAGCAATACACCACTAAAAAAGGATATTAAGGAGTAAGTTTTCTGAAAGTTGCTGGTCTCTAGGTTTGGAAATGGTAGTTTAGCATCACCATAGTGTTTTTCAACTTAAAAAATTTTTTGTGTGGTGATTAGTGACCATTAATAAATATTTATTTAGAAATCGTGAGATGCGATCTCCAGACCGCATCTCACGATTTCTAAATAAATAAATTAAATTTTTTTTTCAAAGTTCTGGCTAATAAAACGCTTATTCCGCCAACGTCTACAAGTTTAGTATTGATCACTTCTTATTGGAAATTTTACGTAGTTTTCAATGGTATCAACTTATTTGCCCAAAACCTTTTAGTTTTGGAGTTATCATTGTTTATTTGAAGCAAGGTCGTGAAATCTTAAAAAATCAGAAAAAGTGGAATAACTCCGAAACTGTTGAGATTCGGACCATAGTTAATTAGGACTTTTTGGTTCCATTTTGAATGTAGAATCTATCGGCAAAGTTTGTAACACGAGTAGCCGAACACCCTGTGAGAAGGGCAGCCCTGGTTCCGAATTTTTATTGAAGGCGGATGAAGGGTAACGATATTATTATTATTATTATTTGTTGTTGTTGTGAGTTCAGCTTGAATTTAAATCCAACACTGACATTTAAATTACGAAAATGTAGAAGATAAAGTGTTTTATAAGGCGGGAAGAATTCATGCACGTTGCACCCCTTGAGATATGTTGCTAATCGCACTTTTCATCTTGTCCCACCCTCTGTTTCTCTTTTATATTAAAAAGAAATTATGTATTTTTTGCTTGAATTGAAATTGTTTGTTTCCTTGTTAAAGGAGAAAACTGGAATAAATGTCGCATGCGGGAAGAAATAAGCAGGTGGAAGAATGCGAGTCGAATTTTTTTTTTATATTCTTCAACTTCTCCTTGGAAATGTTGTACGTTACGCAACCCAAAACCCTGGCAAGGGGCCAAAAGAAGAATAAAAAAAATATCCTCTCCAGAAATGCCAGGGATATTCGTTGTAGAGGCGAGAGAGCACAACTGGCCCGTTAATAACCAGTTTTTGATAAGGGTCGGGCTCGGGGTAGGAAATCCAGTTCTCGATCCTAAGTCCCAAGTCCCAAGTCCCAACTCTCGTCTCTTCCCTTTCCGACTTTCGTCTCGCCCTGGGAGTGGGCACCGGTCTGGTGGGAGCGGTGACAGGACCAATCGACGACGCCCCACTCACGTTGAATTTAATGTTGTCCGACGCCCCGGCCGAGGGAGCACCGCAGACTTTTGACAACCGCGTCCGGTGCAGTTGATTTTACGACATTTTTATTTTTAATATTATTATTTTTTTACCTGGACTATTTTTAGACGAAAATGTCAATCATTGGCAAGGTTTGTTATCTTGTATTATTTTTATATTCAATCACTTTTTTGTACAATTTTTTTACTCAAGATGTTACATAACAATTCATTAATTCCAGCCCATTTTATACTCTTATTGGCGCAGTTCCTGCTCATGGAGGGTCAGAATAGGTAAACAATTTTTTTTTCAAAACATATATTATAACAACAACAAAAAATACTGAAAGCAAGAGTATCCAGCATCTCTAACACATAAAAACTATACAAATACAAATTTATTTATTCAACTTATAACAATTCAACTAGGCATTAAAATGTTTAAAATCAATTTATGTTATATTACAAAATTGTTATAACTCGATTCTCATTTGAGAGTTGAAGTTAGCCTGATAAATTTGCACTTAAAATTTAAGTCTTATAATCATAGAGAGCTCTATCAGTAATACCAAATATTACAGTCTGTTAAAAAAATTAACATGTAAAAAAGTTAAAGCAAAACTTATTTTTTATTTTATTTTTTTTTTCACAAAATTTATTTAAGATTTTCTTCTTAGCTTCTTCCTATTTTTTCTCTCATTTTGAAGCGGTAGGTATGATACACATAACAAAAGAAAAGAGTAGATTGATCTAGCATTACATTTTTTAGTAGTCTAAGCTGGTCTTTGCCTTTTGTATGACTCTTCTTTTCATTCTCTCTCTCCCTTTTCTTTTTCTTTCTCACACTCCCTCATTCACTCACTTACTCACGCTCTCTCTATCTCTTTTCTTTTTCTTTTTCACACTCCTTCATTCTCTCTCTCGCTCTCACTTTCTGTATCTCTCTCTCTCTCTCTCTCACTCTCACTCTCTCTCTTTCTCCCTCTCTCTCTCTCCCTCTCTCTCATTCACTTTTTGTTTCTCTCGCTCACTCACTCTCTTTATCTCTCTCGCTCTCTCTCACTCTTTTTCTCTCTGTCTCTCACACTCATTTTCTCTCTCTTTCTCACTCACTCACTTACTCACTCTTTTTTTTTCTTTCTCACACACACATCTCACACTTCCTCTCTCACTCACGCACTCCCTCTCTATTTTACTCTCATTTCTTTTTCTTTCTCACACACTCCTTCATTCTCTCTCTCTCTCTCACACGCTCTGTATCTCGCTATCTCTCTTTATCTTTCACTCACTCATTAACCCACTCTCTCTTTTTTTTCTTTCTCACACACTCTCCCTCATTCTCCCTCTCTCACTCACTCCCACTCTCTCTCTCTATCTCCCTCCCTTTGATTTTCCATTTTCATACATTCTCCTTCATTTTCTCCCTCTCACTCATTTGCACACACTCTCTCTTTATTTTGTTCTCTTTCTCTCCCTCCCTCCCTTTCCCCCACTGAAATAATGTTTCATTTGTTAACTTTAAAATTCTGACTTGTTGAATTGTTCCCCAATTCAGATTACTGCAATGTTCGAAGTGCCGAAGTCCGATTAGGGAGGGGGCACCTTGCTCAATTTATTAAGTTTTTACTTTTAACTAGAGCCAACATTTGTACACATATACAGGGTGTCCTGTTTAGACGGCCCGGCTGAATTTCTCTTGAATCAATGACATTAAAAAAAAAATATTTAAAAAATACGTGTTTAATAATTCAAGTCAGTTTCAAATTTTTACCTTTTTTGTAGAAAAATTTTACGGTGTACCATAGGCCCAGTTCAACTTCAAAATTTCAACTACGATTCAATACATCCTGGCACATCATTTTAAAGGATTTTTTGCGCTGAAAACAATGGTGCAATTGGATTTTAAATTAAAAAATGATAAAGTGATGGCAAAAACTAAAAAAAAAGCATTTTGTTTATTTCATTGTTAATTAAAATAATTTGCTTCTTTACTAAAGAAAACAGTAATTGCCTTTATTGTTTACATTCTGTCATTGTTTGTCAATCTCATTATGAGAGTAAATCTTAATTCCTGGAAGTAAATAAATTTTACAGTAGTACTTATTCGTTACATCCAGCCTTCCATTCGAAATGAACCGAAGAGCACATTTTTCCGATCAACGGCGAGTTGATATGTCGGATTTTAAATGGTCAAAAAATCATCTTATTAGAAATATCGAAGTTGAACTGGGCCTGAGGCACCCATCTAAAAAAGGACACTTTTATATTGTTTTTTGCTAATACTTATGATCATGGTGCATTGATCATTTGAAGAACATTGCAAAATTTAAATATTTTTTATTACTTTGACAAATAAAAATAAACTAGGCAGCTAAGTAAAAGTAAAGTAAACAAGACACAGTTGATTGTTTATTTCTCAAACAAATATTTACCTCAGTATAAATACAAAAGTTATCTTTCATATACATTTTTACATGGTCTTTTCACATCGCAGTGTGAATCTCAGTATTGAAAAAATTAAATTCAATTAAGAACAATTGTTGCCAGTTTTATCTTATTACGTAACGGGTAACTTCAAAATTCCCCCCTCCCCCCACCTTTAGATTAATATTATGATTCCTCCACATTTGACGAGGTAGTGTTGAAAATACTAACAATGATTTTTTATTCATATATTTACAAATAGTATTTTAAGTGTAATTAATAGATGATAAGAAGCAAAAGCTAAATAAAACGGTGTGTCTTTTCTTTTTGGTTCGTCTCTAACTGCATGCTGCATTAGAAAGAAGTGCTATAAGTCTGTATCAAGATACACTTGACACCAGAAAGTTCCTTGTTGAGTGCTTTATTTCTCAGACCCCAGAGTGTTATAAGCCTTAGTATTCAATTTTGAACCATTTACAATACTTTTTTTTTATATACTCACTAACCATTTGGCCACCTTGGTCCCAAACATAAAACAATTCCTGTCGTACAGAAGACTTATTGTCCAACTACCCATTGGGTGTCTTGGATAAGGAGTCAAACCATTTTACAATACAATTTTCATACTATAATCAATTAAAAAACCATGGGCTCTATCCAGCAGTGTTGGATTTAGCAAGGTTCACTACACATCGACATCATCTTATCCTTGTAGTGTCTGTTTTGTCACCTGACAAGATTCTGCTTTTTAGAGTGCTGCTATGTTACTGCATTAGATTCTGGAGTCATATAAGCTAAATATAAATAGGATGATGAATCGGCGGGTGGAGGGGGGGATTTTTTTGTAAATATGTGTTTAAATTTGTTTGTTTCTTTTTTAAGCAATGCTATATTTGTTCATATTCATTTTTTCATTTTTTAAAATATTTTATCCCATTATTTATCATATATAAATAAAAACCTTTTATTGCTTTTTTTCTATTTTTTTTTGTAATTTTTTACAGCTTTGAATTTAAAGGAAATCCCTTACGACATAAAACCGGTCAGTTTAATCAAAGGCGGTGGTGAACAGCACAGCAATGAATTTAGAGAAATTAATCCGATGGAGCACGTACCGGCGTTACAGATCGACGGGCATACGCTTATAGAATCAGTAAAATATTTAAATACAGAGATGAATTCGTGGCTTCATAAATAAAACAATTGTGAAATTTTTCTAGTTGAATATAATGTACTATTTGGAAGAGACGAGACCTCAGCGTCCACTGATGCCACAGGATCTGTACAAAAGAGCAAAGGTGAGCCTTAAATTGAATTGCAATAAATAAAGTTTTTCTTAAGATGATAAATTTTATGATTTATGATGAGAACTTCTTTAAATTCACTAATTTCATGGTCCACTTGACCAATTAATATATTACAATTAATTAAGGTTTTTAGTTGAGATAAAAACGTTTTGAGAATGTTCATTCTCAATTCTTTACAACATAAATCTAAACATGATATGACTACGCTGTTTCCCTTTTATACTAGGTAACCAGAAAAGTCTTCATCAGAAACTACAAAATCAAACATAAAGCATCATATTTTATTTCTCAATATTTGGTTTTCATGTCAATGAGGGTCATTTAGTGACAGCCAACAGTACGACCTTCAGTACAGGATCCATTTTTTGTTGCGACAATACAGTAAAAAACATCTAATTTGTACTGTGGAAGCAATGAAAGACTAATGTTTAAACGTTGAAGGTTGTTACCGTTCCGTCGATTTATGAGGAATTTGCTCAACTTCCATCTCTTCCTATCGATGTAAGCTAGAGTGATTGGTTTCATTACTTACGTCGAACACCCTGGCAAGCTCCTTAAATGGCATGACAATCAAGTTCGATAGCTTCCCTCAATTCGTCGTCATTCAAGACAGGTCTACCAGACTGTGGTTCATCTTCAATCCGCTTGTTCGGATAATTCCCAAAAACTATCTTTTTTAACCTCTGAACCACTTTTGGGCAGGATCATTTATTTCTTCATCACCAAATCCAGTACAAATTTTAAGAGTTGGCTGCCCTAGTACCAAGTTTAATTTAATACCATAAGCATGCATTTTGAAGCCATGACAAGGAAAATAGTTTATAATTTACAGCGAATTGTTCAAGACACTTGCTTTATCATTGGGGGAATGCCTAACATATCTCCAGCTCCTTGGAAACATCAGGTAACTCTGAAGTGGGTGATACAAGGGGATTGGAGGAAATGAACAGGCTGATGAACTAGCAGAAAATCAGGAACAGCCCTTTTGGACTGGAACTGCAAATTGGTACGCCAATAAGAGCAGAACTGAACAAATGTATGGAGAAAGAAATGACACACTGGATGTGTAGATCATCAGGTGCAAAATGATAAAAGAAGTTTATAAATTTATTAACATCTCAACCAGGAAAACAAAAAAATACCTCACTCTCAGCAAGCAGGAACAAAGGAAAATTTCTTTATACTGGCCATTATTCAATTACCATTTCAAAAAAATGGGAATAACTGCCGACTGTCAAGAAAAAGCAGACATCATGATGTGTCTTTTGCAACGGCAAAGCCAGAAGCCTCTTCGGAAAGGCAAATATGATGCTTAAAGAAATAAGTGAAGAGGAACCGTGGAAAGTTGTCCACTCTTTGAGGCATGGAAGTAAAGAAGAGTCTTTTAGGTTGCAGTGGAAGGACGGGAGATTTTGGTCACCAGTAACCCCGCTGAGAAAAACAAAAGAAAAGAAAAGCTTCTTAACCTTTGAGCGGTTGTGCCTCCATCTGAGGAGAAGAAACTTCCTGTAGCTCATGGCGGCATGCAAAATCTCCATTTCTGTACTGTCTGAACTCTTTTATGAGTTCCTGTGAGAACTAAGGTTCTAGCGAATCTGATTGATCCCAATCTTGAATTTTTCCGATGCCAGGAAACTTCCCACAGGTTTAGAAAACAATCAAAATAAAAAAGTAACAGAAAAAATTAAATTAAATGAATAGTATGTCTCTGCCCATTTCTTTAAAATGGATATATTTAATTAAGAACAATTTCAGTCAGTTTTATTTTTGTGGGGCAACTGATAATGTCGTCTGCCTCTTGGATGAGTACATCTCAGTTTAATCCAAATAAATTTTTTTCTTACATAAATAATGTGCCTAGGTCCGAGAAATATGTGATGTCATAGCTTCAGGCATACAGCCATTGCAAAATCTAATTGTATTAATTTACGTGGGAGAAGAGAAAAAAAAAGAATGGGCACAGCATTGGATAACCAGGGGGCTCAGAGGTATACAAAAAATTATTATTATTATCTTTATGCATAATAATATTAAAAATATTTCAGCTGTTGAAAAATTACTTTCATCTTGTGCTGGAAAGTATTGTGTTGGCGATGAGATTACGTTAAGCGACTGTTGTCTTATTCCGCAGGTTTTTAACGCACGCAGGTATGATTAATTTACACATTTTTTAAAGTAATAAATTTAATTTTAAGAAGGATTGATTTTTTTTTAAAAACACGTTAAATATAAAACGTGTTTTTTTTTTGTAAATATAAATAACAGTTTGGTGTTCATATACACTATTTGTCCACACCGCCTTCTGAATTCCTACTGTTCCTTCTGTTTACTGGAAATTCTTGGTAAACTCATCTGTACACAATTACTCCCCATCATACAGTATTGAAATATAATCCGTGATCATCAATTTAGATTTAGTGGATCAATTTGTTCAACAGTGCCATCTGGGCAACATCTCATCCTTGCTTGAGGAGAAGCTCTGCTGGTTGGGGTCTTCACGATGTTGAACATTCAATTGAGTCTAGTACACGGGTTGTGTCTTGAAACTCAAGGTCCTACCGTCTTCACACCTCCTCATCCTTAAGTCCTACCAGGTCTGCAGGTACTTTAAGTATGGGTCAGATCCACACTCTACTTTGTACAGGGTAGTGTCCTCAGTCCACTACCGTATTCTTTACATACTGCTTTCCTAGCACACTGATGACAGTACCATTTCTTCCAACTCTATCCTCCCTGTTATAGCTAACTTCCCGTTTATATGGTGCACAAAAAATGGTGAATCAAATTAATAACCCTCGATAGAGAAGAGGAAGGAAAACCTCCCCACGGACGCTCTATTCAATCGCTGATGATACAGAGTAACCAGACTATCTACGCTGATGGGTCCAAGATGGCAAAAACGTGGATGCGGCTGCTTACATTGGGAGGGAGATAGATATATTCTCATATCCTTCCTTAGCAAGTGTTTTGACATTGGCTATATCCGTCATACTAAGGTTTGTTGAAGGAAAAGAGAAAAACATTCATTCGAGAGTTGGTGTGGGTTCGTGAGCACTTAGGTAATACAATGGGAATGAAGAAGCAGATAAGGTGACAAAGTTACCCATGATGAGACCATATGACCCACCCACACATGTCCAATGGATATTAAAATAACACTGATGAAATGAAAATTGAATGCATGAATCCGCAGTACCGGAAGAACACATCAATCTAATAGAGAAAAGGTCATACTTACCAGGTTGTACTTAGGTCACACATGGACACCTCTTAACAGGGGCTCACCCCCTGATATATCTCACATATCAAATTGTAGAGAATTGATTGAGCAAAGAAAGAAATTCAACATTCCACATGATTTTCACCTTGAGCATAGCAGCTTGCATAGGTCATTTCCAGTACTTCAGGTCCGTAAATAAATAAAACTGCAAATAAATCATATGTATATGCCTGTGATATATGCTGTTTATTGGAACAAATGTATTTATTAGCCAGAATGGAGGGGCCGGTCCCAGAGGTACAAACGAACAAGATATGTACTTATTGACTTGAAAAGGAGAAATTAGAATCAGTTCTTATTTGTTTCAATGTACTGTGTAATTGTCATTTATTAGTATGAAAGACCTCGAGAAATGAAATTCAAGTACTCTCTGGGACAGTGTGAATTAAGTCCAGTGTATGAATGTAATTTATTAGCGTGAATGTAAAGACCCCGAGGAATGAATATCAAGTACGCTGGGGTAGGGCGAATGAATTGTCACGTGTAAATGTAATTTATAAGCATAACTGAAACCCAAGCAATGAATATCTCGTACTCTAGGGTAGTGTTAAGCCTGACACATGAATGTAATTTATTAGCATGAATGGAGGGAGCTCGCCCCCAATTTCTCCAAGGGTTATCGAGTACTATGGCAGTGTCCCTATGGAAAATGATAACATCTGGGCTGGGAATGGAAATTATTTCACTCCATGGAACAACAATAACAAAAGATGCTTGTTAGTTTTTTCTATGGTTATTAATAAAAATTACTAGTACTACTGCTAATAATAATGGGAAGAAAAAGAAGCAAGTAGACTTGTATTTGAAATTTGTGAATGATAAAAGTTTCTCTTTTATTCGTAATACTTGGTTTATGGATTTTTATTTTATATTAATTTTTCAGGTTTCAAGTAGATTTAAGACCCTTTCCAATTATTTTACGAATTGACCGGGAACTTGAAAACCACCCTGCATTCAGAGCAGCGCATCCTTCCAATCAACCAGACTGTCCTCCTGAAGCAACAAAATAAGATTATTTGGTTCGTTTATTTTATGTTAATGATTAATTTTTTTTATGATGATGCATATCTTGATCTTTGTTGTTTTTCAGATACTTTCGTGGTGGGTTACGTTTGGACAGTGGTGAACGATAAGCAGCGTTGATTTTGGAATTTGCTATTTTCCATGGTTATTATTGTAGGAATTTATTTTTATATTTTTAGCTTGCTGTTTATGGGTACTTGGTTATGTGCAGTAGAAAAAGTTACTGTGTCTTTTTTTATTATTTTAATTCATATTTTATATTTTGTTGAGACAATTATCATTGAAAGTCCATAAGACAGTCATCAATTTTTAATGTGCAATATTTCTTCACTGTAATAAAAAATATTATTATGTTTTTTTCAAGTAGATTTCGACCTTTCCCAGTTGTTTTAAAATGAAAAAAAAAAATGGACTAATTCGCCACGAAGTCAAAGACCTTTGATAAAAAATTTCATTTTTTCAGAGGCTCAACAGTATCTAACACTAGTGATAGATTGGTTTGATGTTCTCACACACTAAAAACAAAAACTTCTTCATATTTCTATGTGGAAACGGTTCAGTAACAACAAAAGAAGTTAATGAATCAAGCTACCGGTAACCAATAAGCTTTGCCACCATTTTCCTGGTGCAAAGTTCTCTTAATCTCTTTGAAGGAATCTTTGCACCGAGCTAAGAGGTAGTGGTTGGACCTCCTCATACACTCTTCTTGTAGTTCTTGTTCCTAGTTCATTGGCTCAGTCATGAGCATGCTGCAATAGCCAGGAACCCACTGGAACCGACGGTTTCGAACTGCCTGCTGGTAACAGCTAGAAAAACATCCTTTGAATCCACCATCGTCCGGCCTTGGCAATGATCTTTAATTATTTTAAGGCTAAAGGTTCCCTAACTCATGATCAAATTTGGTATCCCTGATGCCCTCGCGCATAGAGTTCAAAATAGTGGAAATTCATGAGAAATATGTCCACGTTGACTTTTAACTTGCCAACTGTAACATTAGATCCATTGATTTGTACTATTTCAATGAAGTGATCCTGCCTGATAAAGGATTTTGGGAATCAAGACCAACTATGTGCTGGGATCAGATCTTTTCTTAGAAATTTGGCCAGAACCAAAGATTAAGATCATCGATAACTCAGATTCGCCCAATCTTAAGACTTTGGTACTGATGTAGATGTAAATCCAACGGAAATTGGCATAGGTTTTGTATCCCATGTTCTGTACTTGGAACATTTGGTATTTCATTTTCCACCTCCGTCCGGCTGGTTGGGCTAGTAGGCCTTCATGCAGGTCACCAGCACTGAATCAAAAGCACACCTTTTGGACACCTGGTGCATTTCCACTCTTTCACCATACCTTGCTCATTGATAGGAATCCATGGTTCTGACATAGGAACCTCTTTCCTTGCAAACCGTGGTCGTGTGGTTAGGGTATCTGTCTCGTATTTGCCATACCGGTTCTGGGTTCAAATCCTGGCTGAGCCAGCCAACAAGCTTGAGTGTCAGAGGTTATCAACAGGTCATTTCAGCCCCCAATGCAATCAGTCAAATCCAAACCAATTCACACTCTCACTCACTCAAATATATTCTGTTTTATTTACATACCATTCACTCAGTGTGGTGGAGTACTCAATATTCCAAAAGTGGCCCTCTTGCTTACTCATTCATGCTAATAAATACATTCATTCTCAACCCACACTAATGACCTAAAACTATCAGTACTATACAATAAAACAACCTTGTTCCTCAAAGAATCGAAACAGGGACATGTCTGCTGTGCAATTCTAATATTGGGTGGCATTCCTGAACGCTCTCTTTATGGAGCCGAGGCATGGCACCCTACAACTAAGTGGGAGACATTCTCAGCATGCCGAACATACCTTGGCTTTGACACAAAAGTAAGTGTTCATATGTCATGATCTATCTTTAAGGGTGTCCCTTCTACAAGTCAGGTTCTCCGAGGGCCACTTAGTGCTCTTGATATGCAACAGTTTTTCTACTGATCTGGCCCACCGAAGCTTTTTTTTAATTGTCTTTTTTTAGTGCCAGGGGACTGAAACCCTCCAACATGGGACCCTCCAAACCTACAGACATAGGTTTGACAGCAGCTAGCATTTTGCTGAGATGCTCCAGTTCATGGTATCTCTATAACAGTAGGGTCAACAGAGGACCTGTCACAGGTAGTGCTGAGGGAGTCGGGAAGCATGCTCCTCTCTAGCTCCATGGGTCAAAGTACAAAGTGGCATAAACTGCTTCCAACCTCCTTGCATCCTAGATCCGTCGGTGTACCATCAAACTGATCCACCTATTTTTGAATCAATTGTATTAATCCATATATGTATTTAGTAGTCATAATTGACCATTTTAATTAATTATAACTTTTTCTAAGGTCTTGGTTGAGATGAAAAAGCTAAAGCTAGTGTCATGACCTTCGGCTAATACACCGCTGCTCTAACAACTTGACCTATTGAGACTTTGATCCAATTGGACACCGACTCCCCAGTCACCACTAGCGACTAGCCGAAGGTCGTGGGTTCAAATCCCGCTCGTGACACTAGTTTTTTCATCTCAACCAAGACCTTAGAAAAAATTAATTAAAATAATACGGTCAATTATGCCTACTAAATACATAAATGGATTAATACAATAATTACAGAAGTACTTACTTTGCTAACGGCTCCCTGTGGCCACTTCATAAATCGCCGAGAATCGAATCCTGATTACACGATATTGGAAATATGGCAAAAAGAGGGAAAATTAAAAAAAAAGGTTGAAGGTTGAGTTGGTCTGAAGTCCACGATAGCTCAAGTGGTTAAAGCAGCGGCATATTTAGCCAAAGTCTTGGGTTCGAATCCTTCTCGTGAAATTTGCTTTTTCATCTCAACCAAGACATTAGATAAAAAGTATAATTAATCAAAATCATCAATTTTATACCTTTCAGGTTATAAATGCTTGAAAAATTAAATAAATAGAAATGTACTGTAGGAGCTAAGGAAAAGCATGTCCATCTTGAGTGGGCAGTATTAAAAAAAATACCAATCTAGGGAAGAAGAGAATAATTTTGTTTATCTTGTTGTGATTAATATCAGCATTAATATTATAATTATGTATAAAAAATACTCGGTTAGGTGGTGTTTGTCTCAAACGTCAGGATAATGAAAGATCAGTGTTAAAATAAAATTTAAATAAATTAAGAACTCCCCAATGGATCTTTCATGTTATGCTTTATTTTAGAGGTATACAATTAAAAGTATATAAATACAAAAATAATCTTTATACTGTTGAAAAAAAACATAAAAACAAAACAAAAACATTTTAAATGAATTTGCAAAACATGCCAAAATATTATGCTACTTAATAATAAAAAATACATCTTTTACATAAGTTTTGATGCATTTATATTGAATGATACATATTAGATTTCTAAATTTGATAGAACATAAAAATATTATATGACAACATTACAAAACACAAATAAACACCAGGTTTCTAGATAAATTGTTTGATTGCTAACAAGTATCATATTTTCTTGTAGGAACAAACTTAAACTTTAAACTTATTACAAAATTATAACAGCCTCAAATGGGGGGAAAAAGCACCAGAAATCAATGTAAACACAAAATTTGTCTTATAAACTATTCGAATCACTCGATCAGTAAAGCTACTCGTTTATGATTCCGTGGTAAAACGGTATATCACAAATACACACATAAAATAAATTATGAAAGTTTAATCATAAAAAGGGAAAATTTTTTACTGACAATTGCGATAGTAATATTTACGATATGAGGTATAAATCAGTGAAAACTGAGTTTTCAACCAAAACATTTAATTAAATATATGCCTATATCTGGTCAAATTTTCAGAATGCAATTTTACAACCCCAAACATTACACTAACTTTAAAAAAATTTGTTTAAAAAAATCTGGCAAGGAATGTAGGAAACACTAGTCTATAATGGATAGTAATTGTAATTAAATTTAAAAAAAAATTGTCCACAACCTTTTATATTTTACGCATCATATTTCACACATTTTGACTTTTTTTTAATATTGTCCTTTTTTAAGTCAGGTCAGCTTAGAGCATAAAAGAATAAGACACATTTTAGCACATTTTAAAACAAATTTCAGTTATTTGATCACAACCACTCACCTTTTGTGAACCCATTTTAATTATTTTTTTTAAAGTGATTTTTCGATTTTGCACATCATGTTCTTTTTTTTTTTAAATTAACATTTATAATTAATTTTTCAGTTATGATCGATCCAATTGAAATTAATTTGTACCTTATGTAGAATATTTTTTACCGGTATAATTTTAGGGTGAAAAATGTATAAAAATCATAAAAGATGTTAAATCTAAAATCTTTTTGAGATTGATATCACCATAAATATTATAATTGTATAGTAAAATAAATCGGATAAGGCAAATTTTGACAGAAAAAACAATCCCTTTGTCAAGCTTTCGATAAATTATAGGGGCTCATAGGGTCACTTATTGGGTCTGTCTTCACTCATTCAGATAGTTCCTTACCGAAGATGGCGCAATGCCGATACGTATTTGAGTAATTCAAATAAACCACGAGTGAAGACAGACCCAATAAACCTATGTTGGTTCAGCATTTCACTGAAGTACATACCAACGCCTATCATCAACTCTAATAAGGAAACAATTTCTAAATTTCTAATCACTCTTCTAAGTCCTGATTGGCTTCCTGTGTTTACCATACAATACTAATTCAAAAGTTATCTAAAACTGGAATCAATCAAACTGCTTTTAATCTTTTTAAAATTTGAAATCATTTCTTTCTGACATTCACTACTGTTATTTAATCAGCAAAAAATTTAAATGACATTACTAACTCTATTAATAAAGAATTTTTGTGCATAAAAGTTTGCTTGATCAAAATTCTCTGCTTTTAAATTTAGAAAAAACTAACGTTATATCCTTTTTCGTTAAAAAAATAGATTTAACAAACAAAAAATTATTTTACATTTAGGCAGAAACATTTTAAATTGGTCTTGCAAAACAATTCCTTTTGTAACTAAAATCAAATTAGGTATACACTTTTAACTTTTTCTAATCAGAAAACTTTTTACAAATTTCCTACCTTTATCTACTCTAAAATGGTGTTTTTCATTTTGGCGCAAATGATATGATTGTTACGTGATTATGGTGTGGGTAGGAATGACAAAGTCATTCAAAATTGTCCAATAAGAATAATTTTAAATAAACCATAAACAATCAACACAGTTACTATACAAGGAATATATTTTTAAAATTGAAATAATTATTTTTAAAATGTTCTTGTCTTCATATGTTTAAATAAACATGATTTAATAAATCTTTAAACTTACATCATACAAGATT